ATATGTATATGTATATGTATATGTATATGTATATGTATACTGTATACTGTATACTGTATACTGTATACTAATATAATATATACCAGTTTGCTCCAACAATCAGGTGGAACCACCTGCCCACCCCTGCACTTTACTTACCTATATCCTTGCAGCTGATTTGCGTGGCAAGCGGATTGCTGCGCCTCAGCTGCGTTACTCCCCAGAAGTAACATAGAAGGTAAGTGTTGTTAAAACTGTGCATGCGCACGAAGCATGTGATCACTGAACCAGCTGTTAAACCGGCAGGCTCGTGTGACCTTATTATTGAATTTTCACAAATTAAATTCTAAAAAAAACCCATATACCATGAATCCTCAAAGGTCATGGTTTTCCTTCTGCATATCTACAACATACACCCAATTGCTAGCATTTAATAGAAAATATGCACCCTGTTAATTAGGTCCATTTTACTAATTTAGTAAAAAAATAATAATCCTCTTTTGATGCCTCCTCAAACAAGTTGATGGAGTGACATTCAAGAAAAAAATGACTGTGGTGTTTGACAACAGGTATATTCAGTGAAGTAAAACAATGGATGATAGAACTTCCTTCAAAAATGGACAATGTAGGTCTTTAGCTAAATCAAATGCCTTTCTAAAAACTATGCTTCTTTTCTGTGGCAAGACTGCATTCTTGCAATGTGTAATGTCATTAGAAACCAAAAATGATTTCTAACTAAACATTAATGATTATATACTTCAGACATTAGCACTCTTAGTCATTGCATCATCTTACTGATCTGGCCTGCTGGGGAAGGTGTAGACTCAATGGTGGAAAGAGTTTGAAATCTTTCCATTGTATATATAGCATCCCAGTTGTAATACTTGTGATACAATGTCATGTTTGAAAAGAACTTCTTGACATGTTGGACAGTTGCCATAGGTTTTTCCAACATTTTCCAGATATTTTGATTCCCAATAGCAGTGTTGGTTGAGAATTCTGGTAAAATTTGCATTCCATCTGGAAGATACCAGATTGTGGGTAATGCTATAATCAAGTTTATGGACCAAAATTTTGATTATGCATAAGGTAAATTTATCCATTGATGAAACCTATTATTAACAGAGTTATTAGATGCCACAAGCATTTTTTTTGTAACCACAAGTTACCCCAGATACCTAATTACATTGACTTAATTATTTTCCGAGTCCGATACACGGCATCAGTAAGATAAAAGACTTTAGAAACTTTAGCTGCATTTACTCAAGGGAGGATACACAGATTAATGCACACTGTCAAAGTGGCATATTATCATCCCTGATTCATTACTTATATGACTATGGGGATTTTGTTTCACGTGAGAAATGCTGGTGTATACATCAAAAACAAGCACAGCATTCCGATCATAGCAAGTTTCCCACTTCTTGTGAATGGTGCTAATTATGAATGAGCAAAAAACCTTGCCCACTGCAGATAAGAATATGGGGTAGAGATCCAGGATCCTCTCACCAAGAAAGTCCCCAGAAGAAAATGGGGGAAAGGGGTTAACAAAAAAATAAAACTTTTAACAGAAATTTTACAGGTGGAGATCCCAAGAAAGTCTGTTGAAGATTAAGGGTTAGACAGCAACTTCATGCTATAGTAGAGGGATATCTGGGAGGGTCAAAACACCAAAATGGTTGCTGTGATTTTATGATCAAAACTCTAAATCAGGGCTCCCCAAACTTGGCAATTTTAAGATTTATGGACTTCAACTCCCAGAATTCTCCAGCCACAGAGCAGAGCTGGGTGGAGAATTCTGGGAGTTGAAGTCCACAAGTCTTAAAGTTGCCAAGTTTGAAGACCTTTGCTTTACATCTCTTGTGTTGTTACAGTTGCTGCACTTTAATCATTGAGTTTTCTTGGGTTGTTTATTTGAATCTGTAAGCTGCCCATTTCCAATGGATTTGGAAATTGCCAGCTAATGAGAGAAGAAGAAATGAGGCAGAAGAGAGAACAGAAAGAAGGAAGGAAGGGAACAAGACCATGTCCATTAATTTATTTAAACAAATAACCACTTCCCCTGATCAGTATGTCAGAGGAAGGAAGGAAGGAAGGAAGGAAGGAAGGAAGGAAGGAAGGAAGGAAGGAAGGAGGGGAGGAAGGGCAATTCATTTCTTTTGTTCCCCTGCCTACTGTTATAGGAAACAGGAAAAAATAGGTGAAGATGGGGAAGCTTAAAAGAGCATTTTCCCCAGTCTTTCCTAACCCTAACATACTCCATGCTACTCTGCCAAACTGCAAGGTTTATTTTTAAATATATTAAATAGTTGGACAAACAGATTTTGTTGTGCAGAGTTATAAACTGAAATCTAATATAAAGAAGTTCCAGTTTGCGCATTAAAATCTATAGTTTATGGGTTTATTCTTAAATATGCATATGACTATCCTACAGCATTTATCTATCTGTATTATGGAGAGGGAAGAAAAATTGCTACTGTCTTTAACTTTTATTAAATTTATTTTATCTGAAATTATCTTAAGACAATATCTAAGCTGAACAGAGAGGATAAAGAGGGAAATCAACTAATGCTTAAAAAGCAGGCAATACATGGGTATTTATTTTATCAGTTACATATTTGAAACCCCCCATATGTTATGCCTTCTTGAATAGATGCTTGAGATTCCCTTGCATGAGTGCCTCCAAGTGAATACAGATTTTCCTTGTTTCATTGTCCACATGAACTGCATAAAAACCTGAAGATAGGGGAGCCATGTGAATTTCTCCTTAATTTTACTTCGAGCTACTCTACTGGCATTGTCCAGTTCACTTACAATAGAAATTGATGCACAGTCCAGAGCACAAAAGAATATAGAAATTGCCTTACCTGTTCAAGTACTCCTCTTATAAAGTATCTTAGTTCCAAAAGAGATTAACCAGATACTTCCAACATGCCCATAATCAGGGAGTGAAAAGTACCTTTATTGCATTTTCAACAACTTGTATTTTCTGTCATACAGTACTGCTCCACCATTGCTTTAACCTTAAAGTAGGAACTTAGAACCTTCCAGGCTGCACTTGTTTTGATTAGCTGAAGTGGCTGATAGCACTAGGATTGTAGTTAAAAATATCTAGATGACATTGTTATGTTTGCATATGGTTCAAGAGTTATTAACTTCTCTGACCTTACTTTCTGATTTTGGAGCCTTCTTAGGAAAAAAATGAATTTCTAAATTATTCGGAGTAATAAACAATAGTATAACAACAAGATATGAGCATCATAGGCAGAACAATAAAAAAAAATCCTAAGATCAAAAGATCTCATCCTCTCATAAATCTTGGGTTTGTGATAACGAACCTATGGCACACGTGCCAGAAGTGGCATGCAGAGCCGTTTCTCTGAGCATGCAAGCCATTATTTGTTGCTCTTCTGGGTTTTGGCATGCTGGTCTTCATGCGCACGGGAGCACTGGAAACCGGAAGAGCATGCATCCGGGAAGGGGATCTTCTGGTTTCCAGCACAAACATGCACACCAGCCATCTGGTCTTCCAGTTTCTGGTGCGCAGGTGCACGTGAAGACCAGCTGGCCAGTGCACATGTACATGCTGGAAACCGGAAGATCATCTCCCTGGCATGCACATGCGTACCAGAGGGCTGCTCTTCTGGTTTCCGGCATGTTCACGCGTGCTCCTGTTTCAGCACTCGGAGCTGAAAAGGTTCGCCAACACTGGTTTAGGTATTCCCCAGAAATCAGGGATGTTTGTTTCTTTGTTTTATTTAGAAGTGCTTTTAATCTGTTAAGGCTATACTAAATGCCTAAATTCATTCATTGCATTAGGTCATGACCTTTTGGTGTCGTTCATAAAAATCATTAAGGTAAAAACCATGGTTAAGCATGTCATACAGGTAAGGTTCACAGATCACGGTAATCTAAAAGCAAATGTGTTTTTGTATGTTTTCACACCTGAGGATAAAAGGGTAAAGAAGAGCATTGTGTTCCTCCACAATGACTGTTAACAAGCCATTCTTGACCCACACATGTATGGCCATTTAGATTTAATAGATACTGGATTCAAATATTTCTGCTCCCATAGAGCCAATGAAGGAACAGTAATACCACTATTTGTTCGACTTCCTAAACATGCAAATAAATTGGAAATAATGTTTGCATGTTATATCATCTGCTTTTAGCATTTATTGGTTGTTTTATCTTGAAGTGGACATTTAATGGAGGAATGTACAATTACACTCAAAAAAGTAATAATTTAGTTTCATCTAAGATGTGCAGCAGAGAAATCAAAATCAGTGTCAAATTGGAAAAAAAATTCCCCAGATTTTAAACTTAAGTGTAGATACAGTTTTTAAAAACTGCATGGATGAATCCCGATTTCATGCAGAAGATATCTCAACTGTCATATTATTTTGATCATTGTTTTCATAAGCAGAAAAATTCAGTAAACAGTAAATATGCACCAGACAAATTCTTTGTGTGTCCAATCACACTTAGCCAATAAAGAATTCTATTCTATTCTATTCTATTCTATTCTATTCTATTCTATTCTATTCTATTCTATTCCATTCCATTCCATTCCATTCCATTCCATTCCATTCTAAACAGTGCTGAAATACTTATATTCTACATAGATCCTTCAGTGTTGTTATATATTATTCCAACATGTGAAATATAGTGAATTACTCTAATATATTTTACATATAGGTAATCATAATGAACACATGCAAAATACAGCTGTAGAATATGTATCTGTGTATGTGTGTGTTTATTTTATGATCATATATACACATATTCTATAGGTATATATGGTTAATATACATCTATCTTTGTTTAAGGTTAAAGTTTGACTCCATCTTTCTTGGAAGACTAAATGTTTCCCAATTGATCTGCTAAATACTAGAAGTGTTACTGAGAAATAGTAATGGATCTACAGTATGATTATTCTCTGAATTTCATGCCATTTTGCATATGTAAACTTGAATCTGTAGTTCCAACAAACTACTATCTGAGCCTGGTTCCACCTTGCATTGTTCAACAAGTACATCTGTACTTGGAACATAATGCAGCTCAGTTTTTAACTACAGCTAAATACAACCGGTTATTTACCCTTTTGTGTTAGTTTCATTTAAATGGAAAGTCTGCTTAGGGTTGATTAGTAAGTTGTTGCTATTGTTGTACTATGTCTTCCCATTCATCTGTCAAGGGTGACAATACTTGCCTTGTTTTGCAGATGGTATTGTGAAGGGAAAGAGCTTGAAAATTCACCATATATTCAGATCATCCAATCAGGAGAGCTGCATTCTCTAATTATTGTTGAAGCTTTTGAAGAAGACACTGGGCGCTACTCCTGCTTTGCGTCTAACATCTATGGGACAGACTCAACGTCCGCAGAGATTTATGTAGAAGGTAATTGTGGAAGCTTGAAACTGAACTAGGGAAAGCAGCATATAGAACTTGTGTTACACACACACAAACACACACACACACATGCTTTCTTAATTCAAATGAAGTCCTGAGATATGAAAACAGGTTGCTACTCTTATTTATAATGTGCATGAAACCACTAATTTTAAAGGATAATGATAGCTGTCATCTGTTCTTGAAGAAATCAAAATGTCTTCCCATTGTCTCTTCCAATTGCCAATGGCCATTTCTCAGTATACAAATGAAGCAACAATTGTATTACAGACAACAAGATATCTGAAGTTGGTCCTTCAACCTTTAAGATCTTTCTGTCAGGGGCTGTAATAAGATTAATACTATGAATTTTGCAAAAAAAAAAAAAGGAAATGGAAAGAAAACCAGAATTTGGATGAGGTAACATGTTTCAGTATCTGGGGACTATATGCGTATGTATGTATGTATGTATGTATGTATGTATGTATGTATGAATGTATGTATACACACACACACACACACACACACACACACACACACACACAGATACTGTCAGCCAGATTTGCAGAGTTCTTTGCAGTGTTTTGGGTAGAATTTGGAAGAAATTTAAACTAATTGCCATCACTTGTATGATACTACAATCTCTTTATGGCATTGTGCTTTTCATTCATGCCAGTGTCTATGTACACACACACACACACACAAACACACTTAATTGTAAAGCATATACCTATTACCTAATTTACCTATTTAACCATGGCATATCCAGTTTTGAGGAGATTGCCTGACCTTTTTAAAGCTGTTTTAAGCAACAAACATCATATCCGAATCTATTCCCAAACAAGTTTTACACTATTTCTCTTAGGAGTCTGGATATCAGGGAAGATGTAATGTCTTATGTATTATGATATAATCATAAAATTATATAATTTATATGAGTTGCAACATAATCAATGCATTTGTATAATGACTATACAATGAACATGATGTTATGTGGCTTCTACGGTACTTAACATCAACACCAAGGAGTGAAAATTTATATTGCAACACAAATGATGGTCAGTTTTAAAACAGTTTACCGGTAGATTTTCCCAGCAGTGACTGAAAATAATAGTTGTATTTTTCAGTGGAATAAAAAGTGTAAGGGTGCCAATTGTCATCTGTCCAACAATACTATAGCAGAACCAGCAGCACAGGGCTTTGTATGTCCTTATAAGAAATGACTCTCCCAAAGGGGACACATTTCTTATAGGGACATAATTGCTAAGGAAAGTTTCCAAAGATATTAGGATCCAGTCCCATAAATCAAATTAGTTGCACTAAATCATTGTGATATCAACAACAAACATCAAACAGGCAGTCTACATTGCACTCAGATAAGTAAATTAATAAATATGTTGCCCCATGAAAGTAATCTTTGCTTTTCCACAGGGGCCTCATCTTCAGAATCAGAAAGTGACAGTGGCAAAGAAGAAATGGATCGGTAAGTATGGTGTGAATTTGGGACATTTGTGGACACTTCTATTCTTGGGTTAGATTTCCCAACTTGTTACTTTGCTTTTAAAAACAATTGCAGGGAATTGGGGTGATAGGGAATTGAATCAGAAGAGTGGGAATAAACTTCTCTCACATCTCATTTTCCCAATCTATGGCATATGTTTCAAAATGCTCCTTATATGAATTGGTATGTGTTATTGATCAGCCCAAAAACAAGTAGTGGATCAATTTTATTTGGAAAATGATGCAGCAAGTTCTTTGGAACTGTCTCTGATGACTTAATATATGTTTTTATGTAGGTGTTGTAGGAAGCAATACCAAATAGGTTAGCCATTGTCTTCTTCTGAGATCTCTTTTTAACTTTCCTACCTAACCAGAAGCCCTGTAATTTACTACTTAGCTTCCAAATAGATAAAGGGTGACTAGATGTCATCACCAGTGAAACAACAAAATCAAAGCCTGTATAGTAATAATTCCCATCTCCCTCACCTCCCTTTGCACTAACTTGGAAAACTAAGGCTATAGAGTTGTTCAGAGGTAGATGATATACAAGTTTAAGAAATGGTGCTGCTGCTGCTGCTGATTAATCGAAAATTATATATACCCCAAAGCTATGTCTTAGGCCCAGTAATCTTCAATATCTTCATCAATGACTTAGACAAGGGGATAGAAGTGGAACTCATCAAATTTGCAGATGACACCAAGGTGGCAGGAATAGCCAACATTCTAGAAGATGGACTCAAGATACAGAAGGATCTTGACAGACTTGAACATTGGGCCCTATCTAACAAAATGAAATTCAATGTAGAGAAAAGCAGGATTTTTACATGTAGGCAAGAAAAACCAAATGCATAGCATAGGTAGTACCTGCCTCAACAGTAGTAACTGCAAGAAGGTCTTTGACAGTAGACAACCACTTAAATATGAGCCAGAAATATGCTGCACCTGCCAAAAAAGCCAACACAATCCTAGAGTACATTAATAGAATGATAGAATCAAGAACATGTGAAATGTAAATACCATTTTATAATGCCTTGGTAAGACCACACTTGGAATATTGCATCCAGTTTTGGTTGCCATGATATAATAAAGATGTTGAGACTCTAGAAAGAGTACAAAGAAGAGCAATAAAGATGGTTCGGGGATTGAAGATAAACATATGAAGAATGGTTGCAGGAATTAGTTATGTCTAGTCTAATAACAAGAACAACTGGGGTGATATGATAGCAGTGTTCCAATATTTAAAGTCACAAAGGCTTTAGGATGCCACAAAGAAGAGGGGGAGGGGGTCAATCTATTCTCCAAAGCATCTGAAGGGAGGACAAGAAGCAATGGATGGAAACTGATCAAGGAGAGAAGCAACCTAGAACTAAGGAGAAATTTCCTGACAGTGAGAACAATTAATCAGTGGAATGGCTTGTGGGTGCTCCAATACTGGAGGTTTTTAAGAAGAGATTGGACAATCCGGGTTGGACTAGAAGACCTCCAAGGACCCTTCCAACTTTGTTATTCTGTTATTTATACAAATGGCAAACTATAATTTCACAGGAAATTCAGTTCATATTGGTATGCAATTGATAGTTGTCTTGTATAGACTCTAATTATGTCTTCTCCAATTGCAGTAGCTTGAAAATATACGCAATCATTACATTATTATTTTCAGGTTTATGGAGACAAGATTTTCCTGGCCCTTCTGTTTAACATTTGAAACAGTTTTTTTCCTCATTCCAGCAAATCCATAAGATACAAGCGTTCAAAAGGCTGGCTAAATAGATATGTGTCTTTCTCAAACTTCAGTGAAGTCTCAAGAAGAAACTGAGGTCTCTTGCTTTCCACTAAAGCAAACGTTAATAGACTACTTTTGAGAACCTTTGTTCTCAAACTTTTCTTCTCAAAGGACAGGATTAGAAAGGATTAAGTCTCAATTAACTAGAGTTTCCCTTTCTTGCCACCTGTCACTAGATAAACTTCAATATTTTTCATATAACGAAAATGAGTATTATGTTTGCCAAAAATGTGACAAGTCTTGCCAATGAGAAAATCTGATCTCTGCAGCTGTCTGTTCAGTCACTGCTATGTGATATTTCCCCATTCCTATTTCCAGACGGTAAGAATGACTTAGCCAGTGAAGGTCCATTCTCACCCTAATCCCCAACTATAAGCTCCCTCTTTTAATGGGTCTCCTTTTTAATTCTCAGTACCTCAACATAGCCCTCTCTTCATTTACATATATTGTGATCATTGCAAAGAAGTACTCATGCAGATTAACAATAATGGAAAATGTGGAGGGCTTGTATTAGTTTGTGGACCACAAGGATGCCTAGCACTTTGAAGAAATCTGCTAGTAATTTCTGAGCATTTGAAGCACCACTCAAAATATTTGGTCTTTCTAAAATTATTGATGTTCTGTTGTTTAGATTAGTACAGTGAGGGGAGTGCCTCAAAATCTCAGGGCTGGACTGGAAAGTTGAGAAAAAAATCCCAGGAAAAAGCAACAGCAAACTATTGCCATAATGCTTCTGAGGAGACCTGAAGGTCATCACCTGGAGCTGAGTCCAGTTCAAGGGCATCCTTAGTTTTAATTCCCTCAGGAGCGGCTGGAATATCCCATCTTTCACCTCTCAAAAAATTGTTCACCATTCCTGTTTCCAGAGGTGGTATTCAGCTGGTTCGGACCGGTTTGGGTGAACCAGTAGTGGAAATTTTGAGTAGTTCAGAGAACCGGCAAATACCACTTCTGGTTGCCCACCCCCATCATTCCCTGTCCTATATTCCCTTGTTTTTTACCTCAGCTGATTCACGCAGCAGAGCAAATTGCCGCACCTCAACTGAGCTAAAAAAAAAATATAGCTCAGCTCACCAGTGCTGACACTGAGGGCGGTCTTTGAGTGCTGCCCAGGTCCATGAAGCATGCTCTCATACAACTGGTAGGAAAAGATTTAGAATCTCATCACTGTCTTCTTCCCACACAGAGCAAGGAATTAAACCACAGAACTTCCTTAGAATCCTTAGTAAAGGCAAAAGGGAGGAGATACACTTTAGGGCAAGGATGCTTTGGGAAGCTTTAAAGTCAGTTGTATGACAAAACTTCCCCATCTATCAAGGTAGCTTTTTAAAATCACTCAAAATCAATGGATAAAGGTAGTTTCAGCCTTCACAAACTCATGTTGTTTTCTTTTTTTGTCAATTAGCCTTTTCCGACTTTTCCCCAGGTACCAAAACCAGACTAAGACCTCATCCACTGCACCTCCTCCTGCTCCCCTTCCTCCCACTCCTCTTCTGGCTAATTCTTCTGCAACCCATCAAGAATCCATTCAACCACAACCTTTGATGAAACTTCCTGTCTCAGTTCCTGTGTATCAGGTAAGAAAAATAAATATGATGCTTTCCTCAAGGGGACAAAAAATGCCACTAGCTTTGTGTAGCTGTGGTGCTGTCATCCAACCAAGGTGCTATTTTCTGAATGACATTCAGTCATTTGAGAAGGGATTGCAAGATTCAGAATTCCAAACCAGTACATTCTATTAAAGGTTTTGACCAAGAATTCTGGGATGGGCAGTCACTGGTTCATGGGGAGTATCCCACGGAAGAAACCAATTGTAGGCTAACATACATAAAAGACACCATGTTACAGAAGCTGCTGTTCTATAGACTAGGATTAATTTGCATTTTTATCCTTAATCTTTGGTTTTCAGTTGAAGTGGTAAAGCAATTTTATTTTCATCCTGGTATGAAAAACGGGAGAATGCAAATCAAAATAAAGTAACCAGACCAACATAAATTATTTATGAGTTGGGGAAACAAGAATATAATTTATTCAGAAAAGAAAGCTGGTTATTACAAATACAATTCTACTTTATTCAGAAGGGTTAGAGAAGCAATTCCAGACCCTTTGCATTTTTATCTTACTAAAAGGCTAGGAACCCACAGCTGATGCAGCTTTATGTCACCCTTAACTATTCCAGTTATGAAGTAGCATTCTATTTCTTCTCCAACTGAGTTTTTGCACATTTCACTGGCATCCTTCTCTAGCTTTTAATGACCAAGAGTTTCTAAAGCAGAGGTGTCAAACTCAAGACCCACGGGCCAGATCTGACCCATGGGGTGCAGAGGTCATTGCGGCCAAAAATGAAGCCTGCGAGGTGGTGGTGGTGGTGGCACAGACACCCCTCCTGACTACCATTTTGCTGGCAGAGGGCTATCAAACAAACTACTAGCAAAAGTGGCATTTGATCACAAGGCAAGGAGGCATTGAGAAATTCATCTGCTGGAGACAATGGATCACCCAAGCCCCGCCTGGGCCACCCAGGTGCCCCCGACACAAATGACATCAAGCTGGCCATGCCCACCCCAGCCATGCCCACCTCCACCACCCCCAAAATCAAACACAACCCTGATGCAGCCCTAAATGAAATCAAGTTGGAGACCCCTGTTCTGAATGACCTTTGGAGAATGAGCATGTATTTTTTAAATTAAAAGCTACTATGAGTTCTGTTATTGCTTTGTGTTTTAATGTTTCTTTATTCTGTGAATGTCCTCACTTATTTTAGCATATTGTAAACAACCTGGGCCATGAGTCTTTTCATATATTGGTGCTGCTTTGACAATTTACTTCTGTCTCTTCACTGTCCATATTTTAGAATCCTTGAAATGGTTTACATTTTAAAACTTCTTTTAAAAAATAACGATAGCCGTAACTGTATTTTAAAGCTTCTTTAGGGAACAGTGTTCCAGATTGGGATTGTTTTAATAATGAAAGAATGGGATAGAAATAACAATATAAACCAATTACTTTTGTGAATAATAAATGGTTCAAGTTCAGCTTTTTTGTTAAATTGTGGGGCAATGTGTGGCCAAGGGCTTGAGCAAGATGTTGCCAATGTTTATCTAAGGAGAACCAGTTTGGTCTAGTGGCTAAGGCACCAGATTAGAAACAGGAGGCTATGAGTTCAAGTTCCTCCTTAGCTATGAAAGCCAGCTGGGTGACTTTGGGCTAGTCACTGTGTTTTAGCCCAACCTGCCTCATAGGATTGTTGTTGTGGGGAAAATAGGAAGAGAAATATGTGTGGAATCTGTTCATTGTGTTGAGTTATTTGTAAAAGTAATAAAAGCAGGAAACAAGCAAACAAACAAAAAAATACACGTTTCTTTCAGTGATGCTATGAAAATTGCCACAAGGTTAGGTTCCATGTCAGCTGGACTTTAATATCATGCTTAAAGATGTTCTCCTGCAAAGTCTACACGGTTTGGACAATATTTTTTTCATATAGTTCTCTCCGTTCACCAGTTTTTGTAGAAGCAAAAATGTTATATTTATATTATATATTATAGCAGGGGTGGGCTGCTGCTTTTTTTGCAGGGGTAGCTTAGCTAGAACCTCTAGCTAAGATTCGATGCAGTTTGGAGAACCCCCAAATCCCTCTCCTGGCTGGCCCCACCCACCTCACCCTGCCCCTCCCAGGAGTCCCCACAGCCCCTGTGTCCCGTTTTGGATGCAGGTAAGTGCAGGGCACACATGGAGGCTTAGGGAAGGCAAAAAACAGGCCTACTTGAAGTTTGGGAAGGCCAGAAACAAGCATGTTTCTGGCTTCCAGGGGGGCTCCAGAGCCTGAGAAGGCACTTTTTGCCCTTCTGGAGGCTCGAGGAAAGCCTCCGGACCTTGGGGAGAGCAAAAATACCCCCCCCATGGTGCAGGAGGCTGACTAGGCCACACCCACCATGCCCACGCCCACCCAGCAACTGGGCAGAAAACCCCTTGCTAAAAATTTTTGAAGCCCATCCCTGATTATATGCCTTAACATTTGTTTCTTTGTTTCATTACTAGAATCAAAGCCCTACTAATTATTTACAAGGACTGGATGGAAGACCCCTAATAGCTGCTCCTGTGTTCACCAAGGTGATTTGCTTAAATGAGCTCTTCTCATAAGGGGAAACAAGTACTGTAGATGTGATGATCCAATCCTCGGGCCATCATTGTCCAATCCTAAAATAACTTTCAAAAGCTCAGTGATTATATCATCAGCCTGAGTGTCCTAAAATTGCTTCTTTTACATCAGTACATCTTCAGCACACCTATCTGAAAATATTAGAGACTTCTGTTATACAAATTAAGGGAGTTCTCCAGATGACAATCTCCAATCTTTTAAAAGCAACATCAGCAAAGATAAAATTGATAGTAGATTCCAATTCATTTAGAAAGCACCAGATTAGGTAGCATATATTGTAGTTTAAAACTTCTGTCCTGCTACTTTCCATTGACAGCTTTAACAGGTAAGTAGCACACGGCCAACCTGGATTAATGTAGGAAGATAAGCAGGGATTCCTCTGGTCAGTACTTGGATGGGACCATGTTTGAAATCTTGGGCTGTAAATTAAAGTAGGAAGCTGAGCGATGGGCCCCTGTTCCTGCCAAAACCAATGGCAAATCATGACAAGAAAACTGCACGGATGTATCCATTCAGTGACCAGAAGCAAGTATGCTCAATGCTGAACTTTGCTTTATTCACACCTGTGTGTTAATCTTTAAAAATCTTAAAATATCATAATGTCTGTTTTCCTTTTAGATGCTACAAAATATATCAGCCTCTGAGGGTCAGCTGGTCGTGTTTGAATGTCGGGTGAAAGGAGCTCCTTCACCAAAAGTGGAGTGGTACAGAGAAGGGACATTGATAGAAGATTCTCCAGACTTTAGAATATTACAGAAAAGTACGCTTTTTAGGTAGTCCTCAACTACAGGTAGTCCTCAAGTCCTCACAACTGAGCCCAACATTTCTGTTGTTAAGTGAGACATTTGTTAAGTGAATCTTGCCCCATTTTTCAACTTTTGTGATGACCCGGGGCATGACACGAAAGCAACACAGCTAGAGAACAGGTCTAGCTTCCCTTTATTGCTCCAACTTTGCCCCCAAACATCCCCACGTTTACTACCAAGTCCTGGAGCAAAGCTCTCACATGCACCTTCAGCAACCTCTGGCCATGAGTACTTGGTAAGCCAGGTTAGCCAGATAGTAACCAGAGCAAGAAGTTCAGCAAAGCAAGCAAACCAAGACAGAGCACAATAATCTCCAGGCGTTGGCAAGTGCACATGAGGATCCACAGATTCAATGCTTGTTCCTGACAAATGCCACCAGCACTTCCTTACATCTCAGTCCCCAGGCACTCTCCTCCCTCATAGCCAGCTCAGTCTGCTTTGTTCTTCCCTTCTCTCTTCTCTCCATGCTCTAGGATCAGGAGATGGTGGTCCTTGCTCTTCACCTGAGCTCTGTCTCTCCTGCTCCT